TTCTATGATTCTATGATTCTATGAGAATGGAGGTATTGCTTTTCAAGTTCTGGCTTAGTTTCTGAAATCTAGCCACCTTTCTTATAGATAGGAGAAACAAGTGACAGCCAGCAATACTTTCCACCGTTCTTATAGATCTGGAATCTGACTGCCAACTTCAGTTTCTAAAGCTCAGCAGAGGTAGTCTTTCTCACCTTTCACCTTCAGTGGTGTGAAGAAAGGGACTGGTTGTATGGTCCCAAGTGCTGAGAATTTTTGAACAGTAAGCAACCTACAAGTAGTCAGCTTCCTGCATGTATTATAACCTACAGTGTTTTATTAAAAAAGTGACACTTAAAAATATTTTTGCAGGACAACGTTCCAGAATTACAGGAAGGATTTATAATCAATATTACTGATGTGCAACTGGTCTATTCTGCCACTGGAGGTCAGCCAAGCGTGAAGAGGCTTGGGTTAGAAATAGCAGAAATAACAATTGAAGAAAATGATGATGCCAGAGGAGTATTTAGTTTCAATGTTACAAAGGTAAGTAAGTCCGAATGAAAAATATTTAGCATTCCAGCAGGGGAGTCTATGTTTTCAGCGCGGTTTTGATAGTGTTCTAATAGGCTTTATGACACTAAATTGTTCTGGATAAAAGGCCAGATACCAGACAAACAACTCCTTCTTAAAAGGCTCTTCACAGTTAATATATGAAATGTATTAGGGAGCTGGAAGTGCTAAAAGTGATGTCATAGAATATTCTGAAAGGGACCTCAGGAGGTCATCTAATCCAGACTTTTGCTCAGAGCAAGATCAATGCTAAATTCAGACCAATTTACAAGTGATTATGTATTTCTTTATTTTTACCTGCAAGTCAATATAAAAAAAAAAAAAGAAAAGGTTGCTGTGACACTCAGCAGTTTCTTATTGAATTTACAGGATATAACTGGAGCTGTTGCTGGTTATGAGGTACCGCCACCACAGAATATACTGAAACTTCCAGTTGTTCGACAGGCTGGGAGGTTTGGGTCAGCAATTCTGTATTGGGAAGCCATTCATTTAACTGCTAGCTTCGAAGACTTCACACCATCGTCTGGAAACCTTACATTTGCAGATGGGCAGGTATGCGCTTGCTGAAAGCTTAACTATCTCTGGGTTACCAGCTTAAGAGTGTCTCACGTTTTCTTCCAGCAGAATTTGCGTCTTTTCATTGAAAACATTTTATTCATGGCCTTATGTATGTGAATGATGCTCCTGCCTTCAGTTCTTTAACATGGAAAAGCAGAATGTTCATAAGCATTGACCAAATAGGGTTGTATGTCTTTGGTACCTCAACAACTGAAGACATAACTTCTAATACGAAAGTCTGTTACACTGAAAATTTGTAACATAACCTGTCTTCTCTATAAATTCTCAGAATAAGCCTGTATGTTTTCTTAGCTGTGTTCTGCATATATAGTTTTAAATTTCATGCTGTCCTTGACAATACAAAGGGTTTTGATTTCAAGTGAACAGAACTACTTTTGGCAAATAGAAGGATATAATTTGTGAGCAGAATTTTGGCTTAATTACAATATTGTCTACCTGCACTTTCTACTGAGTAGCAAAGTGGATCAGTTTGCTAGTTTTAATATACAAGATTTACACTGATGGACTTAAAAACCACTCTTGAAATTTTGTTATCTTCTTATAAATATACAAGTACGATAAGAAATAAGCACAATTGAACAATGTGTGTTTATCTATTATTAGATAAGATTTACCTGTTTTAGATTTCAGATCTTTTCAAAGAATTCATAGAATATTAGAAATGAAACTTTGTTGCTCTTTTTTTTTTTTTTAACGATTTCTGCAGGCTACAGGAGAAATAGAAATTACAATCATAGATGACAGTGAAGTTGAATTCCTTGAGATATTCAAGATTGCCCTAGTGAGGGTGACGGGTGGTGCAAGACTTGGGGATGACACCCTGGTAACTGTCACTATTCCACCAAATGATTCCCCTGTTGGAGTATTTGGGTTTGAAGAAAAGAATGTGAGTTTGATTTGGATTGCACTCTTTTCTGCTAAAGCTGGATAGTGGGTTTGTGTCACTAGCACATAGCCGGTTTTGGTAAGCCTTCATTGCAGTGGAAGACATGACTTCATTGAAGGGCATATTAGTGCTTGTCTTCATCTGGCTGGTAGGATGGTAATAACAATGAAAGTGCTGCTGCGTAGATGTAGATTTCTGCATGACTGAATCAATTTAATTCAGTATACTAACAATTCAGGACATCCCAGGTAGGATTTTTGGTAGTCTGTTGAATATTAAAAAGGTTTTGTAGTAGTCTGTATTACTGAAAGTGAAATTTGGAAAGAATTTATAAAACGTGTATCATCTTAGTTCTTGTCAGTGAATGAGTCTTCTGCTCTCCATTTTGCTGGTGCTGTGCCTGCTTGTGACTCATTCTCTGCAATTGTTTTGAATCATAGGGGATACAGAAATAACACGAGTGACTAATCTTTGCTAGCAGAATTCAATGCATTCCTTACGTCTCTTGTCTTGCTGTTGATTTTCACTCTTGTCTTTATTTTACATTGTAACTGATAATGTTTTTTCTTGTTTATCTCAAGTCAGTATCGCTGCCTTTTGCTGCAGACTTTCCTATGTGCTCCTTCTCTTTCTTCGTCAGGTAACAGTGAAGGAACCTCAGACACCTGATGACTCTGCTGCAGTTGTATTGCTCACTGTAAGTCGAAGTCAAGGAGGACGAGGAGCAGTAAAAGTGTTATGGATTCTTGAGGAAGAAGCCAGATATGATCTGATGCCTCTGAATGGTACCCTTCACTTCAGTGAGGTATTTCTGATATTGCAATAAATTATTTGCTATTAGATTTGTAAATACTTTCTTCTTCTTATGTGTGTTTGCATGGTTGTTGTTACGTGTTTATAGAAGTAGGGCGTTACTAAGTATTATAACACTAGGAAAAGACGAGTTTGAACTGGTGGGGTTAGCAGTATGCAGTGTTTTCAAACAGAAAAGGAAAGCTGACATGCTCTTTTTAAGGCAGTATAATGTAATCATCAGGAAGATGGGCTCTTCAAATCTGAATTGTTTTTACAATTAAGAAAGAGGAACAAAAATGTACTGAATGTGAAGAATGATTACAGAAACATTTATTCCATTGCAGTATCAGACAACTGAAAGAGAAAATTGATATTGAAAGGGTGAGAAGGATAAATGAATGCTCCAAATCTGCAGATTTTAAAAAGAAATAATAAAACACCCTCGTGACTTTCAAACAGGACAATGTTAGTTGATTTGCGTTTCATGGCAGGTTAAAAACTCTGAAGTAGGAGCCAAAACACTGGATATTGTCAAGCTATTGTTATCTTAATATTGGTCTTTTACAGTCTACTCAAAATATTTAATGAAGAAAAGTGTTTTAACGTAAAGCATTATCTATTCTGTCTGTACAAGGCTATTTTGCATTAAATAAATAGGCATACCAGTTGTTTCTTTTATTTTTAATGAGCTGGAAAATAGCCTTTTTGGGAAGACCACCAGTATCTGGCAAAGTGTTGCTATCATTTTGCTATCCTTTCTCTACTGATAGGCCCGGACATTGTTTTTTCTTCCTGAAGTTCTTATATATGCATACATGTAAGAATACAAGTATGTGTGTATGTTGTACTAAAGTTATAGAATGTCTACCTACTTTTTTTCCTATATTTTTATTTTAAGCATTTGCTACTGCGCACTGACAGTGGCAAAATGTGGATTAGACAGGAATTTGCTATGACCTAATATATCTGATCTTAACAATGTTAATCCTTAGAATGTGTGTATTCTATTGAATATCCACTTTCTGATGGAAAAGATTTTGTATAGAAAGTTTCCTCTAAGTTGAAAACTTCTATATGAATACAATATCAAAGTAATTTCAATTGTTATTCAGTTGAAAATAGCCAGGGTATTTTTGGGGTGGCACACAATGTTTGAGAGACAATTTTTACTATTTATTAATCTTCTAGAAAACATTTCAGCCAGATGAGAAATGTCATATTTAAAAAATATTACAGAATATATCAAGCCTATGCTTAACACTTGATTTGTTAAAGAAAAAAACCTTTTTTGTAATACTGTGTTTTGTTTCGTTTCACTTAATGTATATATATGTATCTTCTGGTCTTTACGTGATGCAGACTGAATCCCAGAAGCTGATTGTTTTACATGTGGTACAAGATGGTCTACTGGAGGGGAATGAAACATTTACCATTCAGCTAGTCTCTACTGGTGATGCAGAGATATCCCCTGTAAATGGTAAAGAATTAATTCACTACATTCTATTTTGAGACATTTCATGTGAGAATTCTAGTAAGTCTATTCATATTATTTTAGTCTGCAGTGCTTATATATGCTGTGTGCAGCTAATTGGTAGCAGTTTTGACTGTCAGTTTTTTTCTGAGTTGTCTCCTTGTCTGAAGAAATCAAAGAGAATTTTAGATCATAATTTTTCATTCTAAATGAATTGTTGGTGTAGACTTTTGTGTTCAGATAGTTAACACTATCTGTAAAGAATTCTTTAATAAAAAGAAGCAAAAACCAAAACCAGGTTCAGACCGGTAAAAATCATAGAGTAATTTCATTTGTAAGGGACCACTGAGAAGGCTCATCTAGTTGAAAACTCTGCTCAAGGAACAGGAGACTTCACAATTATATTAGGTTGCTGAATGCCTTGTCCACTCAAATTCTGAATATCTCCAAGGATGGGGATTCCATGGGCTCTCTGGGAAGCCAGTGCTTAACCACTCATGTCACAAAATTTACAAAAGCTAGCTCATTAGTTAGTTTTCATTTACCATGAGAAGCTTTGTTCTCTTCATAGGTGTTGCGACCATCATTATTGTGGGTGATGAAGGAGCTTCTGGGGTGGTTGGGGTAGCCCATTCATCCAAGCATGTTCTGATTGGAGAACCTTCAGGAAATTATAATGGAACTGCTCTTATTAGGTGGGTACATCACTCTTCCAAAGGAAGGACAACAGCTCAGTTTCAAAAGCTATGAGACTCCACATTTGGCAAGAATTTTGAGTGCTGCATTTCATTATCACTTCTAAAATCAGAACTATTTTTAAAATTAGATGCTTGTTTTTAAAGAAGGGCAGAATATACTATGGATGTGTCTTTTCCGTATTACTGGGGAGCTGCAAATATTCCTCTCAGTCTCCGAATTATTTACAACATTGATGCATTAAAGGAAAGAGGATTCTAATCAAAGGAAGCGGGGGAAGGGAATCAATGACATTTGAAGATGCTTTGTGCTTTTCAGGGTTGGTGCCTGAGCTGTATTTCAGTATATTGCTGTGATGGTTAGCATAAGTGGGAACTGGGTTTTTAGTTGAAACAAGATGCAATTATTTCACTGCATTCAGTCAGCTGAAAACAGGATGAAGAAATGAAGATGTTACTATACCTTCTAAGAGTAGGAAGGATTATGACACCAGCAAATATAAGCAACAGAACAGCTTCTCATGCTGCCCTGAGAAGCCCAAAAGACAAAGTGATACTTTGTGCAGCGGTAGTTGTAGATCATGTAGTATAGATCGTGTTAGGTATAGCCAAATTTTTGCTGTGACTTAGTTCACCAAGACTGATGTCATGAGTAGGATTAGGCTCTAGGTTTTTAGACAAGTAGCAGACAGAATATTTCTCAAGCAATCTCCTAGTAGTCTTCTAATGTCCTTCTGCCTTAAAAACCAAATTGCCTCTGGGCATTACTGTTAAGTCCTATTTCCCTTCTGTTTTGCGTATCTATCTTCGGAAAAGCAGAATGGAACCTAAAGAGCTCAGTTTGCAGCCCACACCTTTGGGCTATACATGCAAAGAAACTTTAAAGACCTCTCGATAAAAATACAGCTCAAGATGCCTCCCAACACAGTGAAATAAAACAGAACTGCAGAAATGTTATTACTCTGAAGAGGGAATTGTGAAGATCTTTCTAGTGACTTAGTACATTAAAAGTCAAGCTCACAGTGCTGATAACATTTCTTTCATGCAAACAATATGATATACTGTCTGTCTCTGGATATTAAAGGTAGAAAATAAAATGCATGTTTGTGTTCTTACCTGCAGCCTGATACGTGGCCCAGGGATTTTTGGTGAGATCATAATATATTGGAATATAACACCTCCTCATCACACAGAATTTATTGAGACATCGGGGACCTTGACAATGCGAGATAGGCAGTCTGCAGCAGTTGTTCTAATACAGGTATATGAGAGATTTTACACCAGTAGCTATTTCAAGTACTTCCTTCTATTTACTTAGTATCTTAGTTAGAAATTAGTTATACCTCTCTCCCTGGAAATGATTTAAATCCTTTTAGCTTTCATTGGTTCTTCTCCCTAGGCTGTAGATGACAACTGTCCTGAGGAGAAGCATTACTACCAGTTTCAACTAACTGGAATCAGTGATGGAGGACTCATAAATGAATCTAGCAGCACAGCAAATATTACCATGGCCGCCAGTGATTTTCCGTATGGAGAGTTTACATTTTCACGGGAACTATTGCAAACAACAGAAGAAGAAAAATGGGTATTAGATTGAAATTCCTTCTTATGTAAAATATTGATAGATATCAATGTTGTTGCTAGATTTATGCTTAACTTCAGGGAAAAAAAAAAATCAAAGATTTATTCTACATTTATCATAGCACAGTCTTCAGAATGGCTGTCTGAGGCTTTTGGAGTTTTTTTAATATTCTGAGAAAGCAAGCTTATCTGCTAACTTACGTGTACTCTGTACTTACTAAAGCAAATTGTTGCTACCTGACAGAACCATTGAAAAGATGCCTTTAGAACAGTCTCCTAAAGGCAACTGTAACAGAAAAACAAAGCCATTTTTTAAAGAAAATGTCCTCTTTCCATCAGGTTAACATCAGTATTGTGCGTTCCAGGGGATCCTATGGCAAAGTGCGTCTTTGCTTTCAGATAATAAATGGAACTGCAGAAGAGGGAATTGATTTCACTCCCACAGTAAGGGAATTGTTGTTTGAACCACATGAGGAGAGTAAAATGATTTTGGTTGAAATTCATGATGACGACTTTCCTGAAGGTCCTGAAGACTTTTCAGTGATGATTGCCAAAGTGGAACTCCAAGGAAGGTAAAGATAAAATTCCCGGTTGATTGACTACAAGCAGAAGAACTAACTATATTAGGAATCTGATCTACCTGCGTAAAGTCACCACTGGATTTCAGCTGTTTTACTGTAAAATTTCGTAAGACAGCTGTAATAGTAATCATAATAGGAATTGTATGTATGGGGAACCCAAGTCTTTTAACATTAGTATAAAAATTTTGCTGAATAAGATTTATTAAAGCTAAAAGTCCATACATTACATACAAGTTGTCAAGTTGCATGAAATTCAAAGAAGAAGATAAAATGAGAAAGAAAAAATTGAAAGATACACATTTCTGTGAATAAACTACTATTTTTGCATATATAATAGTTTGAAAAAGTGTGACCAAAAAGTCTTCAGTGATAACTGTCAGAAAATAAAAGTAGTTGTCATAATTGACAAATTGTCATACCTTCCTGTTAATACTTTCACAAGAATCTTTTATGGGATTTTCTTTTTTATGTTCTTGCAAGTGGATTTGATTTTACCGTGAAAGAAAATGGTCTACAGACGGATCAACCTCCAATAATAGGAAATATCTCCACAGTACGAGTCACTATAGCAAAAAGTGACAATGCAGAAGGCGTCATAGAATTTGACCCACAGTATATCCTTCTACAGGGTAAGTTTACCTTAAGTTTTCACTGTGGTTTGGAAGATAAGTCTGTGGCTATGGCATAAACTTTGAAATAAAATAACTTTTTTCTTAATTATTCTTGCAGTGGAAGAGGATGCTGGATTAATTATGATTCCTGTTGTGAGAAAGCATGGAACTTACGGCTATGTAACTGCTGATTTTCTTTCTCGAAGTATTTCTGCACTTCCTATGGATGACTATGTCATCCATAATAATTCTGTCATTTTTTATCCTGGCCAGAACCAGACATTTATTTATATCTCTATTATAGATGATGAAGAAAGGTAATTAATTTTTCAGATGTTTATTCACTAATTTACTTCTGAGAAATCCTTTTTTAGCATGTGCATGTATGCCTGTGTGTAGAATTGGAATTGAAAAACAAATTACTGCAGTGCTGAAAAATCACCTGAATTTAAAGGGGGAAAAAGAAGCTTCATTAGAGTTTCATAGTTCCTGTTAAATTTTATGCAAACAAATACATTATTTTAATGAGATTATTAGAAATTTTGTGTGTTAATAGTACTGCTGTGAATAATAAAATACTTTGCCATGTTTTTTTTTTTAATTTAACTCGAGTAGAAAATAGAACATTATTCTTATTTCAGATATCACCATTCTATGCAAATGGGAGGAATCTTCTACTGTATGCTTACAGAGATGACTTCTGTATATCTTTAAACAGATCCAGTTGGATGCATGATTGAATTACTAAGGATAGTTTTAATTTTTTTTTTTTTTTTTCCCTCTGGTATCTCAGAATCTCTTTTTCTTTTTCCATGCAGTGAATTTGCAGAGCAATTTGAAATCCAGCTGACAGGAGCCACTGGTGGAGCAGTCCTTGGGCTCCACCTAGTGAGCCAGGTCACTATTGCTAAAAGTGACTCTCCCCAGGGCATCGTCCGATTTCTCAACCAAAGTCGAATTCTTCTTCCCAATCCTGATACACCGACGGCAGTGTCCCTGGTGCTGGAAAGGACTGGAAGATTGTTAGGGGACACACAGGTGGGCCCTGGCTGTCAAAGACTGAATGCTTTCCAGTGACTAGATCCAAAAGCTCCTGCATTTTCCTTCACGAGCTTCTTTGTGACTGATTTCTAACAGGATGATTGCAGCTTTTCATTAAACATGAATTGCATATAGTTGCAGTGTAACAGAAAATGTTGTTAGCCTTTTAATCTTCTCTTTTTCCTCCTGCTTCCTTGCTTTTATTATGGTCTTGTGTACTTTTCTTTGAACTAGCTCCTAATTCCATTGAAAATATGGTTAATTTCATGCACCACCAGTAATTTGATTTAATTCAGTTGAATTACTTCCTAAAGCTGGTCAAACTTTTCTCAGTAAATTGTTTACTGTGGGTTTTCTAGATTTTTTTTTTCACTCTGTACAGACCACTGACAAACTGAAGGTACAAATATGAAGCAAGGTAGGCCTTTCACAGTCTTGGCAAATGACTGGAAAATTGGCAGTAAAGGCCATCAGCTCCTCCTCCCCAATATAAAAATTGCCTTGGTTTTCTCTGACTTTTTCTGGAAGTCATTTGGGAAAACTGGAAAACAATTAAAATGGCCAAAATAATAGTTTTAAAGTGCTGAGTACGGCCTCCTCAAAAGCAATCTAATTTGTGGGAAATTTTGAAAATATTCTAGCTTTTAATCAGGCTGAAGAAGCATGAATCATCATTTGAGGGATTAAAAACTTTTATTGCAGACTCTTAAGAAAATATTTGTCATTTTCTGTCTTGATATCACACTTCTCAGGGAATTGGTTTTGGTCACGAGTACTCATTTGGGGAGCTTCGCAAAACAAATAATGAACGGGAGCGAAATAGAAACTGGCCTGTGTGTTTCCTGTTATGCGCTAAAGAAATCTCAGTTTCTCTTCTTTTCTGTTACTAATATCTAGAATTTCATAAACTGGCATTGTGGCTAACTGACACTTCAAAATTTTCACTTGTAATTTGTCATGTTTATTTTGCCAAAGGATTATATATTTTCCCACATAGAATTAATTATGAATATTTTGTATTCTGTATGAACAGAAGCAAAGATTTAAACATAGCTAGTTACCAGATACAAGAGTTTTTATGTCACTTGTGGTACTCTGTCATATTTCCCACTGGGAGGCTGTTATAATATATCACGACTCTAAATCTGAATCTAATATCTTCCACAGATTAACTGGGACATCTTGGGACCCAATTCAGAAGAGATTTTATCTCCCCTGAATAGTGACATTGGTGACCCTGTGAATGGATCATTCTATTTTGAAGAAGGAGAAGGAGGTCTGAGAGCTATTAATCTGCAAATCTATCCTCATGAAGAAGTTGAAGTTCAGGAGATCTTCATTATTAGGCTGAGCCTTATGAAAGGTGAAACAGAAATAGATCCTAAGGCAAACAATATTACACTAATAGTAAGTCATTATTGCTTTTCTTTCTTCTGAGATCTCTGTTGATATTGGTATTTATCCTGCAAAACTGTTAAAAATTAATAATTATTGCATAGTTTGTCATTTGGCTTTTTTGTCCCTTGTACCACTTAGGTGCATTGTTACAGCTTCACTTAAGAAAGAAGGCAAAGAATCTGTCAGTAAAAATTGGTGTATAAGCACTGACCTGGCCCTCTTAATTTGCAGAATTCTGTGGTTCTCTTCGGAGAGAGCATGTATTGGGTCTTCATTTCTAAATGTCAGTTTGTTGTTCATCCCTTCTTGACCTCTTCTTCTGCTCCAGCTATCGTATATAAAAGAGAGAATCTGACTATTGCAGAGCAAGAGAAATGCAGAAATTTGAGGGAGAAGGCAGAGGGAGTTGTCAAAGACAAATTATTGCTCTAGAGATACTGCAACTAAGGAAATATTTATAAGGCTGTTATAAGAAGCCCGCAAAAAAAAAAAAAATCTTTCCTAGAAACTGGATTTTTTTTTTTTTTCCTGGTCTGTAAAGTGTTGATGGAATTAGCTCCTATTTCCACAGACTCCTTAATTTCTCCTTCAGGGACACAGGTTTATTCCTTGGACTGGAATGTTCCATCCTGCACACCAATGAGTTGGCTTCTCGGTAGTGTGTTACAACTGGTGTTACAACTCAGTTGTAAGTCAGTTCACCATGAATTCTTGTTGCAGCTAGTGATTCATGCAGATGGATGTGGATGAGCTCTATCCCAGAGGGCTGAGTTTGCAAACTGACAATGTTAGAAGAGTTTCTGTACACTAGCCCAAGGTGCCTGAGCATTTCCTGCTTTAATAGCAGAATATTCAGACAGAGCATTTGAAATAAAACTCTGTCCTTTTCTTCCTTGGATAGTGCCAAAAATCTGAAAAGAGAACACTCATACTTTCTCTGCTGTCTCTTAGTATCTTATAGCCATGTCGTATGTTTTCCAAATCCTTTCAAAATTACTTTACTCTCTGAAATGTGTTTAGACCTTTATAATGGTATAAAGTTGTTTAAAGCTGAGTGAGGCTCAGCTCAGTGGGCAGAATCATTGTCATTGCCTGAATTTGTTTAGATATAATGCTTATATTAATCCAAGCCTGAAAACTTTCCTTATTTATTGGCAACATCATATTTTGACTCCTGTTCAATTTAGATTCTGCTTAAACTTATTTATGTATCATTGTAGGATTTTCTCACAAGAGCAAGTTACCCATGGATTTCATATAACAGTCTTGCTTTGTGTGTGTTTATGTGTGTGTGCACATGGGCTTGATATCACCCCCTTCTCATACCTTGATGGTCCCGTCTGCTGGGCTGTTTTTTTTGTTCTCTCAGTCTCAGTTCTAACTACTAAAGTACTGTTGAATTGTCTTAAGAGGAGAAAACTCGGTAGGAAGAACTAATAGATATGTGCCCCATAGCATCTAGCAATGAAAATCTCAATGATCTGAACAAGAATACAACTCACTCTACATTTCAGATTTTTTGTTTGTTTGTTTACTTTTTTACAGATACAGAAGTTTGGTGATCCCAATGGAATTGTACAGTTTGCTCCTGAATCATTAACTGAGAATAACTATACAGAACCCTCAGCAGTAGAAGGGCCACAACGTATTACACTGTTTGTCAGACGAATTCAAGGCACTCTGGGAAACATAACGGTATTCTCACTCTTTTCCTAATAAACAGTATAATCTGCAATCATCCTCAGTAATGATGTATGGAGAAATATTTTTTTCTGTGCCTTTCAATTGCTTGTTTCTCAAATTTGTTTTTGAAATGTTGCCTTTTACACTGAATTTAGCAAGGACTCAGCCCTAATACTTGTGGTTTGGAGAGTCAGATTCAGTCACCTCTGGTCAGGAAGGAGACTCTCCCTCTCCCCCTGTGCTTTTGGTGGGAGAACAGAACAAAGCATACTTACATAGTGAGCTTTCTTTGAGGTCATCACATTTGCTTTTTTCCAGGCATACTTATAGGTAAGAATCAGACTATTTGTCTGATCACTCACGTCACTTATTTTTTACTTAAAGTTGTCTAGAAGTCAGCATTTTAACAGTTACTCGTTTAATTAAAAAAAAATCAATTAATAGAAGCATCTGCTGTGTTTAATGAGAACTCTTCACCCCTTTCTCTTGTGAGGAATCTTGGAAAGAGGAAAATCAGCAAGGATGTCTCAATGTAAAAATAGAAATAATTTTTTTTAATGGTTCAGAGATTCCACATGGTTTTAAAGAAATTTTCTGAAGATACACAAAGGAAATCTTTACATTCATAGTACTGTTAGAGGAGCAACATACCCTCCTTTTGTAAGATAGTCTGTGTGCCTCTTTCTATGCATACCTAAACAACTTTCTATTTTACTACTTAAAAATGATCTGTTCCATATCATATCTATACTGAATCCCGAATAGAAAAGTTTCGGACTTTGTGGGTAATTTTGCTTTCTTTTGTTTTGTGCATTTTCTAAACTCATTTCAGATTTACTGGGAAATACGTAGTGAATCTGACATCACAGGTGACTTTCTTAGGACAGAGGGATCTGTTGTCATTGCTGACCAGGAGAGTACAGCTGAGATAATTATCTACCTGTTACCTGATGATGTTCCAGAACTGGATGAAAACTATGTGGTACAGCTGATTTCAGCAGAAGGTGGAGCAGATTTAGACCAAGAGAAAAGAATTGCGAAGATCAATGTTTTTGCAAATGATGATCCCTATGGAGTGTTTGCCCTGTACTCTGATCTGCAGTCCGTATTAGTAGAGAGAAACCTGGACCGGTATGTTCAGATTAATGTAACTCGGCATGCTGGGACATTTGGAGAAGTGATCGTTGAGTACCATATCTTGTCTCATCATGAAGAAGCACTAATTGCACCTGAGAATGAGGTGGGATACCTCACAGTAAAAGATGGTGCCAGCTTTGGAGTGAAAAAAGTGCCAATAAGCAGCCAGGTCTGTATTATCCTTTTAGTTCCTATGATGTCTATTGTTTCCATTTGTGTTCATCGCAATACAAATGTGCTGGAATAAGGTATCCAACTCTCAATAGTATCCACTGTGAAGAAGTATCTGCAGAAAAGAGAGTTTTAGTATTATTATTTTCCTATTTATGGAATAGAAATGGGTTTAAATATCACATTTTCAGATAATAATTGCAAAATCACTGCTATGCAGGTGTTCAAATATTCAGTTTTTCCTTCTGTCATTGCTTTGTGTTACTATCAGTTCAATATTTTATTATTATATGTATGCAAATATTTTCTCAAGTTTCCCTTTATGGATTGTAAATGGTGATCTGTCAGTGCTGACTCACAAAGCAGCAGATAAATTTACCTTCCGTTCTCTGCGTTCCCTGGTTGGCTGTTATTGTTATTACAGTCTTACATCCACACTTACATCCTTTTACATCCGTCTTACATCTTTTTATTCCTAAGGATTACAGTCAAGCTGAGGCTCACTGCGTTAGATACAATTTATTAAAATGGCAATAGTTGCTCTACAAACTCACATTCCAACAAGCTGCTGGTAAATCACATTCACAATATTGATGTTTTAGCTGTATTTCTTGAGAAACATAATCAACAAAACACTTGTCTTGAAAACACTGCTTTTTGTATGCAAGTAGAACAAAATCTGCAGATCGTTCTGCTACTTAGTTATTTGAACTGGTGGATATCATGTTTTTAGTGGAATTAAATGTCTACATTTTTAATTAAATTCTCTCTCTCAAAGGCATTTATGTTACTGGGCTTGAATTTTACTCTGGAACTGATTAATGTAAGCCTCGTTAGGGGAAGTGCCAAGGATGTGCCTGAAATATTAGGAAAAGCAAAGTCAGCTGTTCTGCTTATTCCTGAGGAAGCTGCCAATTCACAGGTCAGTAGACTGGCTGCAGTGTAACATTTCTACCACAGAAGGAAGGTACACTTAATTACAAAAGATAGCAGCTATAAGAATTCAGTTGGCTCCTTGAAGTTTTCATCATTGCAACCAATTTGATGACTGACAAGACTTTTCCAGTTATTACTTGTACTGCATATTACCTTTTCTCTGATACAAATTCTCATAGAAATGTGTTAATACAGTTTGAAAATGTTTCTTCAACTATAAAATGTAAATAGTGTAAATATTATGGTTACTTTGTACTTTTGTTTACATGAAATGGAAGTTCTGAGACTTAAAGGGAAATAACTAATTCTGGGCAATGTTATTCCTTCAAGTATAGCAGCCTCAAAGTAGGTAACAGCATGTATGCAGTAGTATGTACAAAAAGAGATGGAGGTCATGCTGGGTTTTAATGCAGTTGACAGTATATTTGGCTAATCACTGAGTGGGAAATTTTCCATTTGTCTACTTTGTAGGAGAGTAAGAAAAGAGAATTTACCTATTCTGATATGGTATACATGTATGTCAGGCAAAGACAATAGCATGCTGAGTTTTTATCTCTTAAATTTTATTGAAGTTTTTATTTAATGATTTAAATTGGTTTGAAGCACTGTTCTGTCTTTTAATTTGTAATTGAACTTAATTCAAATGGTCTTTTCATAAACATTGTTTACTACCATAGAGCCATTTATCATTGCTTTTAGAATGTGCAAATTATCCTTTCAGTCCCATTTGCTGCTCAAAGAAAAAGAAAAGTAGATCATACTAGCAAGAATAATTTTGTGAACAATGTCATGTGGCAACAATTGACTTTTCCCTGGATACACAGTTAATAATTTATTTTAGACCTATGTGTATATAATATAGTACTACAGCTATTGCCTGTGAGCATTAAGGGCAGGTTGGTTTGTTTTTCTTTTAAACAACAGACACAGAATGCTATATTCAGTGTTTTCAGTACTGAAATGTCAGTCCTACTGGTTCCTTTTCCCTGAGATCTAATTCTCAGAAATGTAAGATTTAGAAATATCGTTAAAAATTTGTGAAAGAAGTGTGTAAATATATACACACATACATGTATATATATACATACAGACATCTATATGCACGCATAATTATTGTAAAATGCTTATTTTACAAATTATAGTACGCTTTCACATACGTTATTGCCCATTTTTATTCCGTTTTCTGTAACAAGATCTACTATGTTTTCCGCAGGTTGGCTTTGAATCTGTGATTTTACGACTTACAGACATTGCAGCTGGGACAGGCCAGGCTGTCATAACCAGAAAAGGAGTTTATGGCTCTGTCATAGTTAGCTGGATTTCAGGATACCCACCAGACCTGATCACTGACTTTACTCAGCCAGGCACCGTTACTCCTCCGTTTGGTAAGTACTTCTCTGAGGAAACAGCTATGAAAGTTGCGTAAGTGACGATACCACCTTCTAGTTATTTGTACCTCTACATGCTTCCTGTATTAATGAAGTCATTAGAATGAAATTGCATGGTCTAATTTTTATCTGTAAGGGATATATTTATTTTTATGAGCAAAAAAACCCCCTAAGCTTCATAGTTACATGTCTGGGAGGTAAGCACAATGATATGCCCCTGAAGGACAGACAGCTTTGTGTAGGAAAGACCTTATCGTGCAGATTTGTTCTTCCTAAATGGAGTGGGATTGTGATTACAGTCCCTATCTCAGCATGTTCCCAGGTAAGAAGAGGATTCCTATTTAGTGATTTTGACTTGTGCGCTCTCTCACTCTCTCTTTTCCTTCAGGTACTGTTGTATTTTCCTCTGGTGAGCAAAGTAAAGTAATTTCATTTCAGGCTACTCCAAGCCTAAATAAACGTGAGTCATTTGCCATCACTTTAACAGCAGTGCACAGCAACGTGTCTGGTGGGGCTCGCCTGAGGTAAGGATATTACTTACACTTTTGAGTCGCACACATGCTGTAAGAATTATGACCTGTGTACAGGCATACACCTTATACAAATCCCTGTTAAATTTCAGGTAGCTAGCAAGCTGTAGTGCCTTCTTTGATAAATTTGTATGTCTTGTCTCAGGGCGAAACAAGTGTCAGTACTGCAGATCTGATCAGAAGTGAGGCTTTTCTCCAATTCCAGTCTATTTCATATCACTGGGATCCAAGGTGCCTAGAATGTGTCTAGAATGATGGAGACAGTTAAGAAAATGAAGAACCAAGATCAACAGTTTTAGCCAGGAAGCTGAAGAATGAAAGCAACTCTAGCAGTTTTCATTAGGGCCCCAAAAAATCCATATTTAGAAGATCTTAGATAACAAACATTATTTAAAAGAAATAAAATGAAACAAGAAATGCTCCAAAAATACCTAATTTGTATAAAAAACCCTTTTTATTCTTAAAAACAAAACCATTACATTTGATCTAGTTTTCCGTGTCAGCTAAGTTGTTATCTATTCTTCAAACTATTTTCTTTTTATTCTTCCTTACTCATGGATAGCTAAAAGTGCTATAAAAAGAATGGACATAGAGTTAACACCGCGTATGGAGAAAGGTATTGCCTTCACCCAGTTACAATTACGCTGGCAAATCTGAAGGAAGTAAGGAATGGACGGGATGGCAAAGTTCCCAAGATTGACTCCTTCTCCTAGGCTTGTCTAGGACTGGTGTCCTCGGAGCACCTATTTACCATGTGAGTCAAATACCCTGAGTGTACGAGGATGACCTTTCCCAGAAAACTTAAGACTACATCCCACAGAGGGTAAAGCTGACAATTTGAAGAGTTTTTGACTCCCTTAGCCATGGAAAGGGTCTAGTTCGTTAACATAAATCACTCACTGCAGTTGTAGTGCTGTTTGGTAGCATCTAGCACTGAATAATGGGTCAGTTCTAGAGATAAGTGTAAGACCCAAGGTTTAGCAAAGAGTCTTTATGTTAAGTTTCTATGCTTATTTTCTAGTAAGACGGGGATATATTTAATACGAAGATAGTAGTGCTTAAATTGATATTGATAATAGAGCTCAAATCTGGAGAAAATTGCTATGAGTAATGTTGTGAGGGCACAGTTAATATTTCAAACCCTCATGTAAGTTTTAAAATAACTTCTTTTCCTTCTCTAGCTTCCTGGCTAAAACTGTAGATCTGCTAGCATCCGTCTAATCCACAGTTTTCTCTTGGTACAGGAAGTTTGTTCAACGGTTAAAATTGGTGTTACTCGGAGTGACTCTATTGTAATATATCTCCTTGCACTGTGTCCACAGTACAAGACATCATCGTTTTCTTTGCCTCTTCATGTTCTCAGGAAGACCATATTTTATTTATCCTTCACTCTGTATCCTGTGCTCACTCAGGATGCATTAAGCCTGTGGAGGGCTGTTCAATCCAATCATTCCAAAAACATTTTTCAGGGAAGCGCTTTGCATCTTGCCTTGTATGGTTGTTATTTCTTCCCTCTACTCTTAAGCATTTTTTTTACCCACTTTCTTACAGCCATCATTGACTGGTCACTGCAAATTATTCTGCTTGGGTGTTTTGGTTTTCATATTTCATACTTCCTCACTCAGCTTTGATATCTTTTCTGTTTCAGGTCTGGATTTATGATAGCTGAAATTGAGCCAATGGGGATTTTTCAGTTTGCTCTTAACTCAAGATCTGTTTCAGTTGAAGAAGGTGTTCAGGCAATCACACTACATGTCCAAAGATTGTTTGGTTTTCAAAGTAATCTCACTAAATTGACATATCAGACCATTCCGGGAAGTGCCAAACCACTAGAGGACTTTATACCCATCGACAATGGAGAGCTTATGTTTTTACGTTTTCAGACAAATGCTGTGATAGAGATATCAATAATTGATGACACTGTGTCTGAAATGGAGGAATTTTTTTTTGTAAATTTGACTGCTGTAGAAATTTTGGATGTTCAACCTGTGAATCCTGACTGGAGTCCACGTTTGAATCCAGCTTTCAGTGTTGCCACAGTTAATATCCTGGCTAATGATATTCTTCACGGAATACTAAGTTTGGGCCCAGAGTTTGTTTATGTAGAAGAAGATGCAAACAACAGTACCCCAAACACAGTGATACTTCATGTCAGAAGGACCAAGGGTTTTACTGGTGATATTGAAGTAACTGTTAAAACCTTTGGGGGAGTGAGTGCGCAGAGTGGAGTAGATTCATATCCTTTTGGAAACGTTTATGGAAAATCAAACTTCACATGGGCAATGGAAGGAGAAGATTTTGAAGAACAGTCAGTCTCTCTGACTTTGCTGGACGGAGAAAGAGAAAGCAAGATGTCCATAAAGATTTTTGATGATAATGAGCCTGAAGGACAGGAATTGTTTTATGTTTTCCTCTCAGATCCTGAATGTGGAGCTCAGATTGTGGAAGGAAAAGATGAATATGGATTTGCTGCTTTTGCAACAGTAATTATTGCAGGTAATATTTTTTCCCCCAGAAAATACTTCTGAATTAAATACAGTAAATAACTGTGTGTTCTCATAGCAATTTTTGTGTGAAGATTGGAATTCTATTTGATAATAAGCAAGGTATTCTATTCCCAAATCCTGAGTTTTCCAGATCAGAGGGAGCATCTAATGCACCAAGCCCACCATGCATCCCTTAGCAACGTGGCTCAAAATACATTTAGAGATGCTGCTTGTCTTGTCCTCTTTTACTTCATGATGGGAAAGACCAAGCTTAAGTGTTTTTCTTTTATGTGTAGTAGCATTGCAGGCTTTTTTGTTTTTCTTTGCCATGTTGTCACTTTTACATTGTATGGGTTTTGTGCAAAGTATAAAAAACGGTTTCTGCTTTCGTTCTTTGATACTATGCAATTTATATCTGCAGTTTAGTTGTCCTCTGCTTCTGGGGAGGGAGGATAAGAACGGGCTTATACAGACATTAGGGAAGAATTTTTCTTTCAGTCACCACACACTACTGTGACAAAGTGATGTAAGAGCTCCAATTTCCCTTAGCTTTTAGATATCTATCAGATTGATCAGTTGAATATAAACCAAGTTTATCTGCAATATAGAATAAGTTTTAGAAACAAGTTGGGAATTGGACCAGTTTAGGTTAATCAAGAAAATTATATGTAAGGGCCAACATTTACTGGAAGTTTTGTGTATTTAGATCTTAATCTAAGACTTAATTTAGTCCTAAGAATACAAGGTAGATATTGGGAACCAGGATTAAACTGTGCTGTTGGATGAGTGTATGCAGCAACCAAAATTAAGTATGCAAGAACAGATTGTATAAAACACATGTTCCCTTCACGTGCATCATCTCTAGAATTCACCGTGCAAGTAACCAGTTGCCTGTATGTGCAAGTTAACCTAAGAAGTATGTGCATAGGCACAGGTTGGAATTTGAACTTGTGTTGAATCCCACAGAAGTGTATTAACACGTTCTAGAGTTACACCGTGAGTACAATGAGTACGTAAAGTAAAATCAGGAGACAACTTACGTTGAGAGTCAAAGCATGTATCTGCATTTAACTGTGTAGATAGAAAGATACCACAGGTTAAACACTTGTGCATGCGCATAAGCAAACACGCAGTTTCTGTTAATCTTCAGTTATATGTTGACATTTAATAAGCCCTGTGTTGGAAACAGATTGCCTTTTCAATTGCAGAGTAAAACCATCACTACACATAAGGAGAAATCCTTTAGAAGCAAGATTTAATGGGACACTCTGAAGGCATTAGTTTCCCCTCATTAACCCTGTTCTTTTTTCCTCCACTGCTGTTTTGCTGAAGTTACTTACATTCCCATGAGAACAATGCAGTATTTTGCAGCTTCCTAGTCACACATACTGAATTAAAGATGCAGGAGAAAAGCTGATGTAACAATTTGGGAAAATGGATGTGTTCAACAACGTTGTGGGTGGGGTGAATAAGAAAGCTGAAGTCACGTCCTTGGAAGCCTGTTTTTATCCCATGACCTACTATGGCAATGCTGTCCATCTAGGGGCACGCTGAGGCCCATTTATGTTTAGAAAGAATATGTTTTAAGGGATATGGTAAATATAAAGTAATATAGCTGTAGTGATATCTCATAAGGGCATTATAAGCAAGGCTTTTGACACTGTTCTAGACTACTGTAACAACTAGTCTCTTGAAGTCAAGGGACACAGAATTCAGTCAGTTTGCTGAATGCTGCTGAAAATACAAGCTTATGTACAGAGAAGGTACCAGGACTCTCATACGGAATTTACTTTCAAAAATGCTTATTCTACTGGTTAAAATAAAATTGAGAAATGCCAACATTTGACGTTCTAGGTAAATATGGAGTGTAAATTAAGAATAGAAATATTGAAAGAAGTTTTCCTGAGGTGTCCCCAAGTGATACTTTTGATACCTAGTTTTTATTTTTTTAGCAGTAATCCATATTAAAGTTATAACTTAGTCTCAGCTTAGCTTTCTTGCTAATTACTTTCATGGACTGTTTCCTGTATAGGAAGCGACCTTCAGAATGGCATTTTGGGATTCATTCCAGAAGTACAAAGCGGTCTTGTACTTGATGAAGACTCAGAAAACAGAGAGGTGCTGCTGATTGTCGCGAGGCAACCAAACAGGTGCAGGCAACAGCTGATTCAAGTGCTCTTCCCACATGCTGTAATGTGCTGTGTTGAATCACAGAAGCTGCTGCTGGTGGAAGAGGTTATCATAGAGTTTTATAATAAAACTTTACCTTTCAGCTCCTTTAATAACTTGCCAGAATCTGGCAAATGGGCTTTTAAGTTGTGAATGTGATTAGGTCTGTCACTGTACTGTTATAAAGCAGAAACGGAAAAAACAAGTGTTTTCCAACTTATACCATAAGGCAGCAAGTGTGAAAGTTTTGCTTAAGGTAAAGTATTTATACTGCTAAAGGTGTAATTCAAATTCTCATCTCCCTGTGTAATATAAGTAGGTGTGAATACTAAAATGAGAAATTAAGAAGGGACCTAAGTGTCAGCACTATGCTTATGTCTTCACTCACACAGATACTGTGTTTTTTCTAATTAACACATATATACATTGCACATTTATGTGTACTTTAAACAAATATGCTCAAGCACTCAAAGTTCCATAAACTTACAGGAAATCCAAATTCCGCCTGGCTTTCCAGGCAAATGGTTACTATAGTATTAAGGACAGTATTAAGCACATCCCTCTCTTCCAAGCACCAGTGTCTCTTATTCAGCTAATCTCATGTTTTCTGAAACAAGAATGGAGTAGAATCTGGGTCTCCATAATTGCTTTATTTTCTTCCAGTGTTACTTTTTGGTAATCTAAACAGGTTTTAGAGGAAGGAATTTAAGTAAAGAGAGAGAACTTTTCATCTTAATTCAGTTGGTTCCCTAGTGATAAGTTTTGAGTACTAACAAAAAACATATATTACCTCTGTGGTTTATATTTCCTAAAGCAATAGTGCTCTCCTTCAGTACATGTATCATAGAATCATAGAATCACGTATCCTCTTTTGTTTTGCTTATAGGGCTTTTGAAGATGTGAAGATCTTTTGGCGTGTGACCTTTAATAAAACAGCTGTTGTCCTTGTGAAGGATGGCATGAACTTGGAGAACGAACTTGTATCTGTGCTGGGAGCCACTACCTGCATGGCAGGTCAAACAATATGCAACATCTCCATTGAAATAAAACCTGATAACGTAAGTAATTATTTCTCATTTATGTACAGCATTATGACATTGAATTGCAATTTATCAAGATGAAAAAACCCCTCTGATCCAGAGGAACTCATGTGTAGGACACAGTTTGAAGATGGTAACTTGACATCTGCTCTCTGCAAACACATGTTTATTTACAGGCTTGTACTACCTCCATTGTGACTGTAAAAATTTGGGAAGGACTTAACTATTTAGTTTGAAGAGTAAATTGGAGATCTCAGATTTTTATAGAACAATAATAAAAAAAGAATGGAGTTATTTCAGTGAGATGCATATTTATATATGTACTCATATCCTTCACACAGTAAATTTTTCATCTATCAAACCGAATCTTAGAGTGGTTTATGGAAAGCATATCCTGTAAGTAACAACATCTCATTCAACAAAAAAACTTTTATTGCAACTTGTGCATAATTTTACATGCCTAAATCTAGCACAACGATCTGTGAAAACTCTACTCAATCATAAAGCTGCGTAAGAATCTCTCAGTGTCTAAAAATCTGTCGCTGTGTACATCCAGCTTGTGAGTAGCGAAGTTCAATTTAGAAGTCATCATCCACTAAAGCCATTTGGCATTTGTCTGTTGGATATGCCTAAGCTTAAGAGCCTTGAGAGGCCCAGCTGGCACTCAAAAATGCAAATGTCATTGAATTGACACAAAGCACAGCATTCAGTCATTTTTATGACAAAGAGAAGGAAAAAAGTATTTTTATGTGAACACCTAGTGGTTAGAGTAGTCACTTAAGAAAGGAAGGATTAATGTTTGTCATTCTTTCAGAGTGGAGAGTTTGAAACTTACTGAGAAATTATCCTAAAAGCCAGGCTGGTGGCAAAGCTGTGTTCTGGGGAATGGAAAAGGACAAGATGAGAAGGTTTCCACAGTTTTTCTGACTACATTCTAGAAAATAACGCAAGATGTAGGATGTGGGAAATAGTGATTTCCCACTAGGGAATAGGGTGCATTCTCTTAATTCAGTAAGAGGGCCATTTTCCTCCTTCATCTTCTGATGTTATTTTTACATTACAGAGCCAATGAATAAAATATATACATGAGCAGGGCACAGGCTGCCTCGCTGAGTAAACTGGGATTTTGAACCTGGTTAGGCCACAGGAGTGATATCATTATTTAATGACAGCAGTGCAGCAGCTGCAGAGACGTGCAGTTGTACCACATGAAGCACAAGCGTGTGCCACGCTAACAGGTGCTAATTGAAGGCTAAAGTTCCCTATGGCATTCCAGTAAATTTGTGCCTGTCATCAATTCGTCAAGATCATTCCATTTAAAGAATTACTTAACAACAACTCAATTAAAAATATATAGTATTTAACCCGTCATATATTTCCCAATTCTTCTTCCAGTTCTGCTTCCATAAGATAGCTTATGAACAAATACATTATGAAATGATGAAGTAATAAATAAATTCAATAAATATTTTACATTTTTATGGCATATGGTATGACATATTCTAGCTTTTCAAAGTTTTTACTTAGTCAGCTATACTGACTTCAGTAGCTAAGAGCTAAATCCTGCTTTAATCCTAGGATTAAAGTAGGATTTCCAAAAATCCAAAGCTGAAACAAAAAGCTATCTTTACTAATAAAAAAAAAAGTCTTCAGTGATCATAATCTTTTTGTAATGCTATTGTCTTGTAAAGAACTACTTTTTTTGCAAGTTTGCTGATTCATGAGTGCATGTAATAGGTACAAATAACATGTTTCCAATCATTTCTGGAATCTTAGTAATCAGATGTCTATTTCTGAACATGCTATGTTTGTATTGTAGGTACAAAATCAAAGATGAGGCAGCATGTCATATTGTAATTTAATATTGCTCTCTTATTTTCAATAAACAAGCATTAAGAATGGAGAATTGACTAGGCTAATTCTTTGACATATGAACACTAAAATTCAATACCCTGTATTTTCAGACAGACAGAAGATTTCTCTATGTCTTAAACCTCACAAAAGTCTATCAGATAGTATCTCTAAGCTTTGGGATTTTCGATAAAGTCAGTTAAGTGTTCAAGTCTCTGAGATTTGCTTGTAAAAACTTGCATAAACATGTTAGTGTTTAAACACTAAGGCTGTATGCAAAATGTTTTTCAGAACTTTACCTAAGTTCAATACTTGAATACAGTTAAGTTAATTAATTGCAGTTTCAAAACTGTATACTTAGACTTCTGTGCAGTTTTTCCACACATGAGTATGTGTGAACATGCCTTTTTGTAAGGCAAAAAGAAAATGAAAGAGCAAATTCCTTACAAGATGTACATCTATGTAAATCCATAATCTTGGAGAGTTTACTGTCATGTATTATGGCAAATTTACAGCCTCAATACATGTAGTATATAAATAGCTACTTTATTGCAATAACTTCCATGCGAAAACCTGAGATTTCATTATTGTACATGACAGAGTGGTGCCTGTTGCAATATTACTTTTAGGATATACTTCATTGTACTTACTGCACATTTCAGGAAGCATGCTTGTGGTAAGTGTTAGTATGAGTAATCCATTGCGCATACAAAATAATATATACATTTTTAAAAGCTGAAATGAATTAGTAGATCTTATAATGATATGAAAATCATCCCTCCTTTACAGGTACCTGAATTTGAAACTTTTTTTTTTGTTGAGCTGTATGCTGTAAGCACAGGAGCTGCATTGAACAGCAGTGCCAGATTTGCTTTTGTAACAGTCCTTGAAAGTGATGCTCCTCGTGGCTTAGTATATTTTGCTGTGGGATCTCGTTTTGCTGTGGCTCATAAGAAGACAACTTTAATCAGTCTGCAAGTGCTTAGAGATTCTAGTACATTAGTAACCACAATGGTTAGCTACAGCATGCAGGTAAGACTTCTGTTATTATTTTTATTATTAAACTTATTTTTAGTGTTATTTTTATCGTTAAATCATTGTTCATTCTCTAAAGTAAATATGACTGTAATTAGCATTTTTTCAGGAAACAGTCAAACATTTACTGGGCCCATATTTTCTAGCTTCTTTTGTTTTCCATTAGTAAAAAGACCTTGTTTTCATTGCATTGTCAGGGGTGATTTTGTTTGTAGTACCTTCCAGTAGCCCCAAAGACTACAGTCAGGCAGGCATTAAATACATTTCTTTCTTTGTCCTAAGGTTCTTATGAGACTCCAATTTTTGAGGCTTCTTTCTCTAAAATTAAGTTTTTATCATGATGGGTATGACTACAAGGTTCAGATACCAACAAACTTACCGTCTTAGGTCACAAATTTATTAATACACAGAGCACACTTAGGAAAAGAGAGAACTTTCATCAAATTTTATTCCATGTTCTTGAAGTACTAAACTTGAAAATTGTTCTTCTGATTGAAAATCTCGTGTGCTAAAGTCAATTTTATCATCTCCATTCATTTTTATGTTTACAGCTGTAACACCAGACTCTTCTAACTGTTGGCCCTTTTATCTCTAAATGAATACCTCATTATTATTGACAGATGATGAAGATTCTCCTTTAGCAGAAGTAACACAGCTGCAAAAACATGATTCCTTCCACTTCCTTATAGTTGTGACTCCGACATCAGGGTACAGGCTGCAAGAGGGATTCCTCTAAGTTCGCCATCGCATTGGAATATTGCTTAGCCTGATCTACCTTGAATATGTGGGATTTTATACCTAGAAGCATTATTTTGGGGAGGGTTGTTATAACAAAGCATTGTGTGACCAGTGTACTTCCGTCACCCTTTATAATATAAGGCTTTTCATTCTATTGTTATATTGCATGCATATGTGTTTTGACTGCACAGGATTCCATGGTGTTTCCATGCGTTTATTATACAGTAGCTGGCCAGTGTTTTAGTTAGATTGTGTGGTAACAAATTTTCACATTCTTTCCAGCTAAGAGTTCATTATAATTTAGCTGTTAAATGGAGGAGAAATTGCTACTGTCTGGTGTATATTTAGGCTAAAATATAGGGGACAATTCCTTATCTGATTGTATTTTTTATATAACACCCCTTCTTTGGACATTTTTAGATTTTGAGTGTGCATGGCCAAGTACCAAAGTATTGGTACTATTGGTACCTGTAAAATAAGAGGTCATGGCAGACGGGAAGCATGAGGCGCTAACTGGAAACACATGTTTATCTCATTCGTACAAAGGTTTCTTAAACATTGTTCTTGTCACTAGTGCTTTTATTACCACTTATTTTCCTGTGTCCTAATTCTCAATTGGGAGGGATAAACAAGAGGAAACTTCTTACTGGAATTTGCATAGATGATGTAATCATGTTCTAGAGCAATTCTGAACAGATACACACTACATTGATTTACAGTGTTCTCCTGCAAACTCAAAAAATGTCTGATTTATTCCATAAGCAAACTTTACTAGTTAAAGCTAAATGTTTTCAAAAGGGGTCTAGTATTTCACAAATAAAAATCCTTGTTTTTTACAGTAAGAGACCTTTCCAAGATTACTTAACAGTCAGTATACAATCTGTACTTATTAATAGATACTATTGAAAAATCATACATTTGAATAATAGCCCAGAATGTTAGTTTCCACTTAAGGAAAGTTTATTATATTACCAGATATAATATCAAGGTTATGGCAACTGACAAAAAGAGCAAGAATGTGAAGAATGAAACAATATCTGCAAACCTCATGGAAGGTAAAAATAGTGCTACTTCACAGGGAAGTGAGGCCATATAGCATTCCTAGATAAGTTCATCTGTCTGCCTTGCATGTGTATTCTATAGTGTTTGCTTTGTCTTTGGACCTATATGGATTGTTCTTCTTTTAAGTATTTATACTGGGACTGAAAATATCATGAATTGATACCAGTTTGGGCACAGAATTCTAAAACCTTTGCTTTTCTTTTGTTTGGTTTTTATGTATTTGTGATTCCTGTCTGTACCCTGAATTGAGGGACTTCACGCTGCAGACATAAACTTACATCAACCCCTCCAGAATTCACCCTATGGATGTGCTAACATTTCTGTAATATCTATTCACCCAGAAAAGCTTTGTGATTTTTTTTTCCGGAAAAGAAGAAGAGGGATCCTGTTTACTGTTGACAATATATATAATTCTTCCTCTAGGTTCTCACTAACCACAAGTGACAGATTGCTATTTCAGGGAGGTATTTCATTTAATGTAATTGTTATATCATTCTTAACTGCATTTTGAAAGGGGATTTCTTTTTTACACATTTAAATTTTACCTATTTAAAATACGTGTGTTCTACAGGAGCTGGTTTTGAACAATGGTATCTATCATAACGTTACCTAAAACTCTTTTGGTTTGTTTTAAGGAGCTACAAAAACCTGAACCTATTGGTCGGACCTTCGTATCTCCAGCTGTGGCAGGACAAGATTTTGCCAGATCTGAAGGTTTATTGACTTTTGAACCTGGACAGAGAAATATGTTTCTGGATGTGACCCTGACTCCAAAGACAGGATCGTTAAACCCGTTTCCTAAACGTTTCCAGGTTGTACTTTCTAACCCCACAGGTGGTGCCAGAGTAGATGACGTGTATGGTATTGCTAACGTCACCATTGTCTCAGGTTTAGACTCCTTGCCAGTTTGGGGGCTGATTGACCAACTGCATCAGCCTCTTGATGACACCATTTTACACAGAGTCCTCCAGAATCTGAATGTCAAAGTGGCCTCAGAAACTACAGAAGAGCAGCTTACTGCTGTGATGCATATAATAGACAAGGTAAACTTTTCCTGCTCTTTCTTGAATGACCACTGACTTTAATAAGAGTGTAGTAACACGTAGGCCCGTGATAAGATCAAGGTTAGCATCCGCAGCAGTGAGGTGGATGCAAGGTAAAGGTAAAAAGGTAAAAATAGAAAGGTAACTGCAAAGGTAAAAATAGAAATTGTGAAGTCCCACAGCCAAGGAAGAAGTTTGTCTGCCACTAGTTAGGATGGTGGCAGAAAATCAAAAATCAAATATGTTGAAAAGAGCAACCAGTATTAATTTTGCGCATGTACCTATAGCTCAAGGTTCTCTTGCTGCGCAAAATTTTCCCTTTGGTGCCATACGTTCATAGAGCTTATTACGGTTTCTTGATTGTCAGGCCACATCTTTGTTGGTTTTAGCCCTGGCATAAGAGAGCGAGGCCCAAGGTTTACTCATATCTTCACAGCTGACTGCAGTCAACACACAAGCAAATCCTACCAGGGCCAGCTGGAGTCTGCTGTGCTCTTAACCAGGCATGCAGCTTGTCTTTTTTCCTGCAGTAGCTTTGGGAATCGGGTTGGCAGGGTAGCTGAGCACTTTAGCATTCGACTAAGTTCTGTGAAAACTCTGGGGACTACTTTGATGGCTTTCTGGCTCTTCCGGAGTTGTGGAATAATGCACAAGAGCTGGAAAATGTTTAAATACCTAGACACAGAGAGGTGTCATGAACAATATTCATGAACAACAGTTCATTTGTGATTGTTGCCATTTTGACACAGAAAACAGAGAAAATAATGTCAAAAAATCTCAGGACTCAACAATCTTTGATTTGTGAGAGAATGAAAAATGCCACATGGTTTCTTTAATTGTCAAATCCCTATTAGTAAGCATATCTTTATGTAGTTTTGACATAGACTGCGCCTCACACCTTGGCAGCGGTGGTAGGAAGATGGAAAAAATAATCTGAACTTTCAGAATGAACATTGGGATAAAATGCTCATTTTATGAGGAAATGATATAAGCAGACTTCTGTGTATAAATGCTGTTTGATTTCTCCTCCTTTCATTAGGTTACAGATGTAGGTGAAAAACAGTTACTCACTGATAGAAGTAGAAGTCTTTTCTATGAGATACTCTGTGCTCTGGCTAGCCCGAAACGCGAGGACACACGGGGATATAGCCTGCTTGCTGAGGTGACTGAGAAGTTTGCCTTTTCCCTGTTGACTGGGGTAATGTGTGGATCACCAGGAGAAAGGTTAGTAAACTTGAATTCATAATATGTTTTGGAAATACATGACAACTTACCAATATAGTAAAAATTTAAATGACATTTTTAGAAAAGGGACTTGTCTATCATCTAATATGTTACCTACATGAAAATGCGTTGCACTCTATCACAATCTTATAAAGCACTATATTGGCACGATGAGCTGTGTCACAAATAACTGGTACACTGATACGGGTAGCTGTGGGAGTAGGAGTCGGGAGATCTGGAGTGTATTAATTCACCTTTAGCTCAAACATTGCCTGGAAAAGGATTCATTAATCTTATTAAGAAAATAATACATAATTGTACGATGAAGAGCTATGTTCTAAGACTTAGATGAAAGTAACCCAAAATTTCTATTGGCAATTTCTGTGCGCTTGCTTTTGCTCACTTGAACATTATTTAAAATTTTTTAAAAGCTACTTGTAATTTTCACATGTAGTTTCAAATTGCTAGTTTTGTCTGCAAGAGCATAATAACCTGTGGTCAGGCTAATGGGCTGGGGAGATAGGTGACTGCAGAAATAGATGACACTCTTTTATGAGACAGGTGGTTTTAAACAGTGGTTTTCTCCCACTGTGAATCTATTAAACAACTGGTAGTTGAATTTAGAAAAAAAATACCTTCTTTCCCCTCAGAAAATCAGCATGGATTAGATTTCTATCTCAACTTCTTTTAAGGATGTAACTTTTCCTGCCATTTCCTAAGTTGTGGGGGGTATGAAGCCCAGCTCGGCCAAAAGACAGTAAATGGCATAAATATCGGCACTATTCTGAACAATGTCCAGAACTTGAAAGTTCGAATTCTTTATTCCAAGTTTTTTTGCATCATCTGTTGGGAATAAGAGGTAAAGCAAGATCATCCATTTTAATGCCTCTCGTTCTTGTAGTCTGATTTCTGCATCAAGTTATAAAGATGAGTATCATGATAACCTAGTTTGCCATGGAGGGGTTTTTGTTATGGATCATAGTGAGCAAAACCCAGAGGGGAAATGGAGAAGCTGAAGTACATAATAATTCAGCCCCTCTTTTTTTCACAGAAATGGAAACTAACTGTCTATCAAATGTCATAAAGCCTAAAAATGGTGGAGGAATAAAGTATTAATTACAAATACATTTTAGAGTCATTCTGTGAAGAATAGCGAAAGCTCCGTTCCACTTACCAGGCCTGTTGCTTTTCTATTTCAACAGAGGTAAAAATATCCTTGACAGTTGCCCGTACATTGCAATAATGGCTCACAACTGGTTTCCTCAGCAAATCAATGGACACAGATTTGATGGAAAAGATGGGGATTCTATTCAAGTACCTGAACATTTACTAGAGGTCTCTGTTGTATTATCGCCTCCTCAAGAAATGAACTGTGAATCTGTACAGTTCACAGAATATAGCAGTCAGCAGTGGTTCCTTACTGGAGATAAAGAACTTGCCCTGAAAAACAAGGTTTGAAGATAATGCAATTTATTTTTTCAAGAAATTAGTTTAATTTAGATATTGCTCAAAACATCTTAAATGTATTTGAAATAATGTGAACATTTTTGTGTGTGTCTCTGATTAAAATGAGCCCTGACTGTTAAATTTTAATATGAAATTTGTATTTACATTGTACGTGTTGTTTCAGGTTTTTTCTATGAGTTTGAAGGGTCGGAGTTCACACCCTTTGAAAGAAAACAATGAAGTCATTTATCGGATTTATACAACAGGAAGTCGGATTGTTCCACAAAAATCGCTATGTCTCCTCTGGAATCAAGCTGCTGAAAGGTTCTTTTGTTAATCTGTTTAGTTTTCCAGTTTCTACTGTGAACCTGTGTATTTGCCTATGATGTGATAACTCCGATTAGATTATTTGCAAGTATAAGATTGATCCATTTCCTATCCATCTTTTTTTCTTAATTTTTCTGGCCTTTGTACCAGCACTTAAAACTTTCCATATAATAAAATGCGTAGTTATTCTAGCTCAGACATTTCTCAGACGTCTACTCTTGACTTTTTTCACCAAAGTACCATTTAGATTATGTAATGATGTGTTAGGCAATGCTGAGAGGCCATAAATCCCAGAATTGCATCACTTCATTAATATTAATGACTTTGTACTCCTTACAATTGTTATCAGACAACGCTTCAAGTCCATTCTTACAAAAGTAATTAATTAAACCTACAGCTCCGGTATTGCTTCAAGTCACTGGCTCAGAATATTCCTAATTTGCTAATATCCACTCTTTTCTTTGGGTCTATGAAAGACACTGTATAAATGAACCAAAAAAAACTGTTAAGGGGTGGACTAGGGATTTATTTAGACCAGTATCCTAGTAGTGGCTAAAAGTAAATGCCCAGGGACGCGTAAGATCAGGACAAGCATAAATTGTAGTTCCCCTAATACTTTGACTCTATGAGCTGAATATGATTTTGTGTATTTAATACCCCAAATGATTTGTCTACCACAAACTTGTCTAGTCTTTCCTTGCACCATCCAGAATTTTAGCACATCTTTTGACAATGATCTCTATAGGGCTATTTCTTTTTGACAAAAAAGCCATCTCCTATTGTTTTTTTTTAATATTGCTGCTACCAGCTAAGTTGATGTCTCCTGGTTTTAGAAGAAATGGTGAACTGCTGATCATTTTCCATTCTTGTTGCTACTCATACCATTGCAAACCATGGAATAAAGTTTTCTGTGTATGCTTTTCAATGCCCCATTATTAGACTATCCTGTGTCTTTCCTCTTCACACAGTATAAATGAATTTGGAGAGAATTATGTTCTGTATCCTGCTGAGATCTAGTTGGTTTAGATATGATTTCATTAGACTGACTGGATTATATCAGTCTGTCACTGATATCAACTATTGCTCTTCAGAAAGGAGATGCAGCAGAATTTACCTGCACGCTCTCCTTTTATCTGGACACTATATCAAGAGCAGACGTGATTTCCACTAGAAATGGCTTAGGATGTCTCCTGTAGTATCCTTTTTCAAAATCAGTTCACCAATACTGAAAGAAAACAAAACATTAATTTTAGTTTCAAAATGACAAATAGCAGTATAAAATGAAGTGTTCTCCATCATGGGGTAAGGTATTGTGCAAGTTAAGTAACACACTATTTCAAAAGTCAGACCGACCTGTAAATCTTGCAGAAGTTTTAAAAACATGGCCACAAAAATTCTCTAGTGAAAAAAAATGTTCATTATCATATATTTACAATTTTTTTAGTCATAAAAGTAAAAAAAAGCTATAAACAGTGTTTTAATTTCATGTAAATGTGCTATTCTAAGAACTGCCCCAGAAAGATTACACAAAACATTTATGCAATAATTTAGAAAACTTGGTATTTCAGAGATAATACAATAATTCTCAAGACTGCTTACCATGTAAATTACACAAATCCTTTCCAACTTTGTGAATCTTCTGTTTTGCAGCTGGCTGTCAGATAGCGGATTCTGCAGAGTGGTTGATGACACGTCAGACTATGTGGAATGCTCTTGTTCTCATATGTCCATTTATGCAGTTTATGCCCAAACAGATAACTTGTCTTCATACAATGAGGCTTTTTTCTCTTCTGGATTCATCTGCATTTCAGGTCAGTTGATTTAAGACAGTTTTCTCATTAATAAAAACTGATGGCCAGTAAGACTGATTGATTTTTAGCGATGTTAGTAACTGATGACAATCTTCTTATTTGGAAGGGTATTGGAGGAATGTTAAGTAACTTCCTGGTATTAAAGTTGCTGTCTGGTCCGGTATTTGCACACTGACAAATTTTGCCACTGAAAAAAAAAGTCCAGCAAAGAAATAGGTTTCCTTGTGATATTTTACTGAACTGTACAAGAGAGAAATATGTCATTCATGTGGGGGAAGAAACTTAAAAATCCTAAATTCACCTGTGTGTCTAGCAGCAGTACAGTTGTCCTCTTTATCAAATCTTTCAGACACTTTTCTACCTAGCCTGAAAGCTTTTTGACAATTTTAGTTGATAATTTACACTCCGAAGTGGTAACTTGAGGGAGATAGACTCCATATCACGTGTGTAGAGCTCCAGTACACTTTGCTGCCTAAGTGCTACCTAATATCTTGGGAGAAGCCCGAGAGTTTAACCTGCGGATCATGACTCACTTCATTGACAGCTACGATAGCATTTGCAGAAGTCCCGAAGTGTCAGACTGAAGGTCTAAGTTTTAAACTCAGCTTGGCCTCTGAAGGAGATGGCAATTACACCTTTCACATTGCAGTTGGTTCACTATTATGTTGCAGGCAATCCTGGATGAAAGTAATTTTTTCTTGTTGTGTTGATAGGCACTGTGCAAGCAGGAACCTAAGAGTAAGGGCGTCACTAAGAAAACATGCTAAAGGGATTCTTAGTCTAACCTTAAGGCACTTAAATGGGGTTCTGGGTCTGCTCCTTGTGAGATTTATGAATTCTGTACTAGATCATCACTGTATGAGTAACAAAAACAGTGCAAGCCGCTAAATCCCCTATTTATCCCTTGCCAGCAAACTGCCCTAACAGACTAAACCTAGGCTCCTTAATTATTTCAAAACCTCAGCCATAAAAAGGGAGATAAAGAAAGAGAAGAAAACCCTCTGGTTTTCACCTACTTCATACAAATTAATTGTATTATTTAAAAATAATGAAAGAATTTTTTAGCAGATAAAAATAAGCAGATTTTAAAATACAGTTAAGCTTCTAACTTAGATTGTGTTAGTGAAAGTAAAAAAAGAAAAAGAGAAACTATAATAAACAAATGTAAATACTGGTTTATAGGAAAAAAAGTAAATTGGTGAGACAAATATGCCATAGAATGCAAAATGCTATAGGAACTGAAGAAAAAAACAATACAAAGTAAGCCAATATGCTGTAGAAACTGAAGCTAAGAGAAATATTTGGCTGAACTGGAAGCAATAAAGACCTTCAGATCCTTGTTCAGCACTAGTCGTTTACTGTAGTCATGTGTCATAAGAATGTATTTTAAAAATTAGAACAGTTTAGCCTGTCTAAATATACCTGCCTTGAATATACCTGCAATGCCTTTCAGCTTCTTTGACTGGTTGAAGGTGTTTCCTTTTGTGATTATATAATGTTTAAATCTAGTGATTAACAAATTGCTTTAGATTTAAGAGCTATACAGATATTATTTATTTCTTTAACATCTCTACCTAGGTGTGAAGAATAAAAAAAAAAAGAAAAAAAAAAGAAAAAAATAGCACAGTAGAGTGAAATAGAATATTATTATTTCCAAAGTTTTCCTATGTAGACAGTTGTATAAATATCACTAGCTAATTTTTGTAAGGTTTAGAAATAATTCTTTCTGCAATGATTTATTTCTTTCATATCTTACAAATACTTGTAGTTGAGCAATCAGTCTGTCTCAAGAGATAGTAAAAGATCTGCCTTAAGTATCCAAATTCCTGCCCTTCCTGGGGTGTGGAAGTGCACAAACAATTACCTCTACATGAGCATTAGCAGCGTTTTCCTTAGTGGCTCAGCTTTCCCAGGGTCCTTCTTCCAAGAACTACTTACTGGTAGGTAAGGGGCCCCTCCCATTTCTGTTCTGTTCACGTTCACAATGAATTAGTGAAATGAAAAGTGGTGTTATTCTTTCTGAGTACTGCTATAACAGATTTCTACGCTGAACACAGATGAAATGGGAGACTGGCATTTAGAAGATTATAGCTATCTCCTGAAGCCATGCTACCCAGCTGGAGGCAATTTTTTATTTATTTGTTTCTAAAAGCATTTTTGGATGCAGTAATATGAACACTGAAGAGTCACCTTTGCTTTATATTTAACTATTATGACAATCATCCATATCATGCAGAAATTAAAAACAAAAACTTTGCAAAAAAGTCGTGTTTACATTATGCAATTATTTTAGCTCCCAAGCCTATGAAAAAGTTAAATAGATGTTAGTACTTCAGTAATAAATTCATGAGTGATCCCAGTGTGAACCAAAGTAAGCATATTCTCTCTGTAAGGTTTGGTGTTGGTTTTGGTTTTTAATGATCTGCACCTTCAAGAGATCCAGCACTGTTGTTCTTATCTAGCATAGTTTATTAGCCCAAGCTTTACATTTCCCTTTTTTTTTTTTCTTGTTGTTGTTTCTGTGTAGGTTTCACTTTGGCTATTATCTCCCACCTTTTCTGCACCAGGTGTGCAATGTTTGCAGCTAAACTTCTCACTCACATGATGGTTGCTTGTTTGGGTACTCAGGTAAGAAAAAAGGCTGAAGTCTCAAACTGTAAATTAAGTACATCTTTACTTCCCTTTTCCTTGCTTCTATGGCCATGTCTGAACACACCTCCTTTTCCACAGTGTGAGCATTTTTGGAAAATGTAAAATTTCAACACGATACTTATAATAAATCCAATATTCATATCCTACGTTGGGAATTCAATTGAAACTATACATTTTCTGAAAATATTTAGAGAAAATTTATGGATGATATAGCCACATGAGAAGATAGTCCTGTATGTGGAATAATAAATGTTTTGATGATGGGGCATATAATCAAAATAAAAGAGTTCCTTCATTAACATCATTATTTATTAAATAGATTAATGTCAGTAATCATAAATTCTGTGGGAAAGGTTTGTTTTGAGTAGTAGATGATGAAAGCTCTTTTGCACTCTAGTATTTGTAGGAAGGTATAGTTATGAAAAATTTAAATAATAAAAGATAATAAACTGTAGAAAGTCTTCTAATTCTCTCTTACTGGTTCAAATAGTAAGTAATAGAATGTCAGCAAACCAAAGGAGCATATAAAAGGAGAATATGTCTTTCTGTCCTATAAAATATAACTTCCTCAGCTTTGGTACATCTGGTGAAATGGAAAGCTATGAATAACCTCAAGTATTTTAAAATTACTTTATGGAAAGATTCCTTAAGAAGGAGATTTTATGTCTATTTTTAATACTATAAAGATGATGTAAATACAGATTTAAATATATGCTGAAGGCAGGGATGCTGAGAGAATTTAAGCATATTAGCAGGCAGGTACTTGGAGGAATGTGTCGTGTCAAGGAAATACTCTGTAGATAATTGAAACAGCCCTGTGTTACCTGTAAAAGTTTAGCAATTGACATATCTCTCAGAAAAGCTTTTGTATAGTGCCATGGTTAATATATAATTTTATTTATGTTACCTCATGATATAGTTCTTTGTTGTATAATGGAGTGCATTGATAATGTTCATCACACAACTGGACTTAAAATAGAAGGAGCAGAAAGGTCCTCACAGCACTTCTAGAGATCACTGGATACCAGCAGGTTTCTTGCACCTTAGGGTGTGAAAGTATTTTGACATCTCAGTTCTTGAGTTTTGAAAGACATACTTAATGTTTTTTAATAGTTCTGTGTAGTTACATGGAAAGCTAGTTTGTTCCAGGGACCTGTAATGTGCGTGGTTACTAGTGTACAAATGTGCAGACTTAATTTGGGACACATAGCTCATAACACAGGTAAGGACTTGCATACGGTAATGTGTCAAGATTTTACAAAACAAGACTACTGAGAGCTTTGCCACACATTTTACGGTCTAATGATAGATTTTGCAAAAGTTTCTTCTACTTTTTCTTTGCAGTGAATGTTGAATTGTCTGTGTTCCCAGAATTGTTTGGTATTTTGCATATGATGGAACTATCCTTATCCATGTTGCATTCTTTCTGTCTCCAATACTCTTCCATTTCTCTGGCAATATGTTGCATTTCCAGTACAGAGACGCTTGTTTCTTTTTACAGCATGTTTCTTTTTCACAGAAGTCTTTTTTTTCTTTTTTTCTTAGAATCATAGAATCATAGAATCATTAAGGTTGGAAAAGACCTCTAAGATAATCGAGTCCAACCATCAAATTAAGTGTGATTCAGTGTGTAAATTAAGATGTTTTAATGGGTCTGAAGGACCTGGTGAGGAGTCCTTATAGAAGCAAGCCCAACTTAGGTCGGGTTGCTCAGGACCCTGTCCAGTTGAATTCTGAGCATCTTCAGCAATGGACATCCCACAAGCTCTCTGGGCAACCTGGTCCAATGTTTGACTACCCATTGTGAAAAGTATCTCCCAATATCTAGTTTAAATTTAATTTGTTGCTAATTGTATCCATTGTCTCTCATGCTGTCAGTATGCATCTGCAAGAAGAGTTTGGTTCCCTCATTTCTAGGCATTTCTATATTGAATAGAAATTCTATTCTATATTCTTATTTCTATAACAGTGATAAGATTTCCCACTCCCACACTCTTAAGACTGAAGAGCCTCAGGTCTTCTGTATATTTTGTGGTCTGAATATCTTGGTGGACCTTGACTGAACTTACTCCAGTGTGTCAGTCTCCTTCCTGTAGTGGAGATCCCAACTCCAGATGTATCCAGATGTGGTCACACAAATGCTAGAATCGAAGGGAAGAATCGCTTCCCTTTACCTTTTGCTAGTGTAAGTCAAACAGCAATTCTAGGCTGCTTTGCAACAAGGCATACTGCTGACTCGTGGTCAACTTGCCATCCACCAGAAACTCAGGTCTTCTTCTGCAGGTCTGCTGCCTTGCCATTTGGCCATAGCCTGTGCTGTTACATGGCGTTACTCTGTCACCAGCTGTATGACTTTGCATTTGCCTTTGTTGAACTTTGCCAGAAGTCAGCCCATTTTTCTAGCCTGTTGAGTTTCCTTGAAACAACAGCCTTACAAATCACCTGCACCCAGATTTTTGGGTCCTCCTCAAACTTCCAGTGTGGCCCTCTGTCCCATCATCTATGCCCAGATGCTTTAAGTAGTATCAGCTACTCCTGAGGAGTGCCACTAGTAACCAGGCTCCAGTTGGACTTCATACTGTTGATCACAACCCTTCGAGCCTCATGGTACAGGCAATTTTCCACTCGCTTTATAATCCATCTAACCAAAGCATGTCTCAGCCTTTTAATGATAATACTATGAACACCACAGAAACCGTATCAAAGGCTTTGCTAAAGTTAAGGTAAACAACATTTGCTGCACTTGCCTAAGCCAGTCATCTCCTTATGGAAGGAGATTGGGTTACTCAGGCATCATTTTCCCTTCATAAATCTACGACGTCTGTTCCCAGCCACCATCCTGTCCTTGCCCTGGGTAGCTTCCAGCCAGATTTACGCTATAACTGCCCTGGGGACGGTGGCCAGGCTGGTTGGTGTGTAGTTCAGAGGTCTTTTTTCCAGCAATTTAATGATTCATCTCTATGCCTAAAAGTTGATCAGAAGGAAGGACAAATAAAAATAAATTGATGCCTCACCTGTACAAGAAGGACCTTTAAACATGGTATTAAAGGGTCATTTTCAGAAGTGTCTATACCTGAGGTGAAGAGTTGAGGCCTAACTGCAAGTTCAAAGTTCGCAAAAACCAAAAATAAGTCATATTTCAAATAGCATCCCAAAATCAGATTTTGTTGCACTTTGAGGCATTATTTGTGTGACTTGCCTCGGTTCTCAACTTTGGTCTCATTATTTCATAAGATGTCTTTATCATCTTTAGAGCTACTTAGCTGCATTCACAAACTACTCTGAATCTGGCATCAGTTTTTGCACAGGACTTTGTAGTAACTTTGGGCTAGAGTCTGGATGCTACTCAGTCTGGGAATTGCTTATTTATTTCTGAAGATACACTGAACATGATTTCCCTGATCTACAGATAGAATTTTCACTCCAGGTCTTATCAAGCCACTAAACTCGTGTTTCTCCATTCTCAGGCCAGTGCTGCAGCTGCATCGCTGTAAAATAAACATCATGCTCTCACGCACACACTTGCCAAAGAAGGTATAGCCAGATCAGGTACAGCTCTGGGAAATATTTCACTTGAATGGCATATTTAATTGAAATTCAGTTTTCATGAAAGTTAAGTCAATTTATCTCCAAAATATGTACGGAAAACCCTAAACAGAGGTGTTTTTAAAGCTTGACCTAAATGGGAACTAAAATTAAAAGTTGCTGCGTTTATTAAATGCGGCTTTATTTAAATGTTATAAACATATCACTTTTAAATTTTCATACACTGATGTGCAAGCATATTGTCAGTAGTATGCCTAGAGTTCTTATACGCTGACAATTCCAGGTTTTGAATAGTCACTCTCTTCTAATCTCGTAGGTTTCTTCTCGAGGTTGGGCAGGAGCACGGGCATAGGCATGAGCATGGCTGGAGACCAGCTCAGGTAGAGACTGATCGCCCACGGCTGAGCTTAAGGAGCCGAAGTGTGGGTGGAGACCCCAGTTGGGACTGGTCAGGACCGTTAAGGTTATTAGTGCACTCAATACCCTGACATAAAGGCAGCTTCTCTCGTTTTTATGTTGCTCTCTAGTAAGCATTTTAAGCATGAAAGGAGGGTTTGAATGTCTTTGTTTTTCAATCTTTCTTCTCGTAAGTAGAAAAAATTTTGAGAATTAGTAAAACTATATCTAAAGAAAAACTATCTGAAAGGCATGTACTTCATGGGTGGAGAAAAGTGAGAATCGTTAATGCAAGAAAAGATTACGGAAGGTAACAGATTAAGACAGAAAGGATTTTCTATTAAGGCATAAGAGCATAAAAATGCCATTATTGCCTTTCCTTCTTCATGTAGAGAAGTAATTCTGAGAGGTCAGGTATCTCTGGCTACTGGAATACTGTGCTCGGTTCTAACTGCAGAAGGACTTTGAAAGTGAGAAAGTTAACTTCAGCTCGGGCCCACAGGCGTTTCTGTCTGCTAGCTGTTTTTTGTTTAAATACACTGCATTGAAACTTTTATATGAAATACTGATCTGTGCAGAATAATTATTGAGAACAGTTCCATGTGGTGTGTAAATACAGTAATTTAGTTTAATTACAAAGTTACTACTTAGAACGGTTCTAAGTCCTTTTGTTATTCATCCTCAGCCCCTAAAATCCATAGCTCTCCTGATCGCTTTTCCTTTTGCCGTGCAATTATTCTGCAAGCTTAGAACAAAACTTTTGACAGAGGATTTTAGCAGGGTAACTGCTTAGCCAGTTAGCCAGCTTGGAGAGCAAGTAAAGACAGTTTGGAAGCAGCTGTTGAAGGAAAGAAAGTGGCTTTAAGGCAGAGTGAAAAGAGAAATGGTATGTTTGACAAGAGTGAACTAAACTACTGTGCTAGCTGTTCTGAACAGCTGAAGGAAAATCTTTATACAGTTACTTGTGTTGTGATATGTTGGCATATGTTCTGCCTAGAGAGAACTAGCCTGATTAGGAAGCCTAAGTTTAACAG